CATGAAAAATTTAATTTTGGCCAATCATATGAAATATTGGATCTTAAAAGGGGTGATATTTATATACATCTGTATCTTTTAGACCACACCAATTCTATACCTTCTGATATATACAGGGTTTAGATTGAAAAAGTTGATAAAATCATGTTAAATGTTTGATTCACATTTCATGAAAATTTAGTAGCAATTTAAATTGTTCAAGATGAAGACTTAAGATTGATCTTACAAATGATGTTAGTTCATTAAGGTTATAGAGACTGATGTAAGTTGTGGTATAATTCAAGAAGTTTTCAAGAAAAACATACAATTTAATTTGATTCTCAGATTTTTACTCAAACTACAATGTGATTTAAATTGAAACCTGTATATTATATATATATGGGGTAACTTATTGACAGAATTCAGTACTTATTATACAGGACATACAATATTTGTCATGTTGTCTAATAGGTGTAAAATTAATAAACATCACATCAAAATACTGATACAAAAACTATACTGTACTACATGAAGTTAAGCTTCCAGATAGGGTAGGGTAGCTTTTCTTTTCAAAATGGTGAGTTTCTGATTTATAGGGATATGTATTGTATCTACTTGGTAAACCTAGATAAGATTGAGTCTCAGTATCTGAAGAAGATTTGGTAATTCAGTCCAGATTCGACTATCCAATGATTAAGGTGAATTTCTGTAGAGCAGGGAAATTGCATGTGGATTTGTCCTTGATTTGGTGATAGAAAGGTTTCTGGTTGGTACTGGTTTGGAGTTGGTGAGAAGGCAGCATTTGGTACAGACTGTGAACTTGTTAGAGGATGAGTTGGTCTGATGGAGATACAGCTTGATTTGATTGGTAAAGGTGGGCTGGCATATACACTTCTATAAAAGATTTATAGATGATGGGTTTGGAATCTGGACAGGAACAGTAGCAGAATTAGCAATAAGACATAGAAGAATTTGCGAAAACAAAGAAGAATACCAAAAGCATAGAAAGGCAGTTATGGATGGTATGGATAGGGAAGAGCTCCTCAGAAAGAGAAAGAATAATGAGAAGGCTAACTCAAGGACACCATTAGTAACAACGTATACAAAAGACCTACCAAACCTGCACAACATAGTAAGGAAGAATATGAAGGTACTTCACCAATCGGAAAGGATGCAAACAATTTTTAGAGAACCACCGATAATTGCATATAGAAGAGACAGGAATCTGGGAGATATATTAGTGCATGGTAAATTAAACAAAGCCTGGGATGATAAGAGCTTATGTGATTCAGAGAAATGTGAAGTGTGTAATAAGATACCTGCAGAAGGCAAGATAACATCTACAGATGGAAAGAGAACTTTCAACGTGAGAATCATCAAGGAACGTGACTGGATGAAGAGATTACGAACGGAGCATCCAAATGGGTTGAATAAGAAGTGCTCGGTTGCTTTTCTGTGAAGGGACTTTAAATAGATAGTAAAATAACGGAATAAGATGAGATCGAGATCTATTTTGGGTGTTTCTGAAGAAGGCAGTAAGCGGAAACGTCAAATAACAGTTTTGTATTTTCATCCATTGTATTTCTCACATTAACTTTTGACTTATGTGTATACCTGATCTCTACTTCATTTCACACTAATATACATTTTTATTCTGTTATAATCTCTATACATTCCCCCACCAACCTCAATTCCTTTTTTTGATACTCCCTTCAACTACAACAACCAATGTCAAGATACCAGACATTGTAGTACTATTAATCAACCAAACCAACATCACATACCCTACAACAGCCCTGTATTCCATCTAACCTTACCACCTACAAATCAACGATCATCTACCAAACCAAGTTATGTTCTACCACATCTCAAACCTATCTATAATCCAGCTGTGGATCCTAAAATTTAGTTGATATAGATTTTCATTTTGTCATATATAAGGTTTTCACTAGTTATCTCTCTTTAATGACCGAATGACGTCATTGTTATTGTTTTGTTACGTTAGAAAGTCGTTGATAATATTGGTTTTATTTTTTGAAGTCTTAGAAGGCTAAAAGAGGCAAACACGTCTGTAAGCATACATGTTTTGTTTATTTGTGTATATTAAAAGCGCTCTCGAAGTATTATGTGTAGTATTGGTAACGTTTAG